CCATCAACAAGTTCAGCTAACACAAAGATAACCAAAATGTGTCTTTGTAAATGTTCAAATAAATCACCAAAACTGTCAAATACAAGAATTACCACTACTAATCATGAAAGTGGACAACATAGTTCAACTTTAGTTACAATTGGCTCAACTTTCAACAATGAATTAACCACACCAAGTAATGCAACTGCTGTCAAAAGCTTACTATGGATTATAATGGAGACAAATACTACTTCAATGAATAGGATTTCAACTGGTACAAAATCTTATCAGCAAAAATTAGCAAAAACTTATACGGACAATGCAAAACTGGAACATATCACGAAAACTACAGATACTCCCATAAGTTCAAGTAAAGTCCATGCTACTTCAACTACAGCTAAAATAAAATGCAAAAATGCTGGAACTATGACTACTACTACTACTTCAACTAATATTGTGAGCCCAACTATATCTCAGACAAGAATGCCACCTACGAGTTCAGCTAACACAAGGATAACCAAAATGTGTCCTTGTAAATGTTCAAATAAAGTGACAAGCCTAAAACCAGAACTGCCAAATACAAGAATTACCACTGCCAGTCATGATAGAGGACAACATAGTTCAACTTTCAACAATAACCTAACCACATCAAGTAATGTAACTGCTGTCAAAAGGTTAATATGGACTATAATGAGCACAAATACTACATCAATGAAAAGGATTTCAACTGGGAGTACACAATCTCCAAGCTTTCATTCAACAAAAACTTATACAGACAATACAAAACTGGAACATATCGTGAAAAAAACTACAAATATTCCTAAATGTTCAAGTAATGTCCCTGCTACTTCAACTACAATGGCAATAACAGGGAAAATAAAATGCAAAAATGCTGGAATGAAGACTACTACTACTACTGCTACTTTAACTAATATTGTGAGACCGTCTATATCTCAGACAAGAGTGCCACCAACAAATTCAGCTAACACAAGGACAACAAAAATGTGTCCTTGTAAATGTTCAAATAAAGTGACAAACCTATCACCAAAACTATCAAATACAAGAATTACTGCTGATCATGACAGTGGACAACATGGTTCAACTTTTGGCTCAACTTTCAACAATAACTTAACCACACCAAGTAATGCAACTGCTGTCAAAAGCTTACTATCGACTATAATGTGCACAAATACTACATTAATGAATAGGATTTCAACTGGAAGTACAAAATCTCCAAGCTTTCGTTCAGTAAAAACTGATACGGACAATGCAAAACTGGAACATATCATGAAAACTACAGATACTCCCAAACATTCAAGTAAAGTCTATGCTACTTCAATTACAATGGCGACACCAACTAAAATAAAATGCAAAAATGCTGGAACTATGACTACTGCTACTACTACTTTAACTAATATTGTGAGACCAACTATATCTCAGACAAGAGTGCCATCAACAAGTTCAGTTAACACAAGGATAACCAAAATGTGTCCATGTAAATGTTCAAATAAAGTGACAAACCTATCACCAAAACTGTCAAATACAAGAATTACTGCTGATCATGACAGTGGACAACATGGTTCAGCTTTTGGCTCAACTTTCAACAATAACTTAACCACACCAAGTAATGCAACTGCTGTCAAAAGCTTACTATCGACTATAATGGGCACAAATACTACATTAATGAATAGGATTTCAACTGGAAGTACAAAATCTCCAAGTGTTCGTTCAGCAAAAACTGATACGGACAATGCCAAACTGGAACGTATCACGAAAACTACAGATACTCCCATAAGTTCAAGTAAAGCCCATGCTACTTCAGCTACAATGGTGACAACAGCTAAAATAAAATGCAAAAATGCTGGAACTATGACTACTGCTACGTCAACTAATATTGTGAGTCCAGCTATATCTCAGACAAGAATACTATCAACAAGTTCAGCTAATATAAGGACAACCAAAATGTGTCCTTGTAAATGTTCCAACAAAGACTTACCAACAAACAAGGCAAAGTTGACAACCCTATCACCTAAACTGTCAAATACAAGAATTACCACTGCTGATCATGACAGGGGACAACACAGTTCAACTTTCAACAATAACCTAACCACACCAAGTAAAGCAACTGCTCTCAAAAGCTTACTATGGACTATAAAGGGCACGAATACTACATCAATGAATAGGATTTCAACTGGGAGTACAAAATCTCCAAGCTTTCCTTCAGCAAAAACTAATATGGACACAACAAAACATATCCTGAAAACTACAGATACTCCCAAACGTTCAAGTAATGTTCATGCTTCTTCAACTACTATGGCTACAACAACTACTACTACTTCAACTCAAATTGTGAGTCCAACTATATCTCAAACAAGAGTGCAATCAACAAGGTCAGCTAATATCAGAATAACCAAACTGTGTCCTTTTAAATGTTCAAATAAAGGCTTGCCAACAATGAAATCAACTGTTAATAATAATAACAATTTTGGCAAAGCGGAAAACCAAAATTCAACAAACTTAACAAAGAATCCTGCCCATTTGAATTCAATTAATGCATTTTTTCCTTGCACCAAAACAACTGCCCCATCCACAGCAGTGTCCACAGACTCTATCAAAATGAATGCAGCTTTATCCAGTGCTTCAAATTCAACTTTAAAATCTAAAAGTGAACCAAAAAATACAACTGGAGTCAAGATGATGTTGACAACTTTGAAGAAACCAACTACAATCAACACAGCTTTATCAAATTTAATTGCAAATACGAGGAAAGCATCTACAATCTCAGCAAATATTGTAGCATCAACAGTTAAACCACCTTGTTATGTAAGAAATACAAGAAAGTCTACAACAACAACTACTACTACTACTACTACTACTGCTACAAGTTTATCTTCAATGAAAAGGCCATTCTCAAGCAAAAATTATTACACACATGGCTTCACTACCAAAAATGCTACTACAATGTTCTCAGTTAGTGTAGTACCAACTTTGAGTACTTCAAGTTGGAAACACACATCTAGCTTTATTACAAACTTAACGATAATGAAAACAGCATCCTCCAACTTCTTGCCAACAAACAAGAAGTTGACAAACATAAAAATGGTTAATATTTTGAATGGTTTAACACCAAGCAAAAATTCATATATGACAAAACCTACATCAACTACCACGCCTTTAGTTGTGAATGCTACTTCACCTATGCCGAAAAGATTAGGTGCTACAAAATTGCCACTGTGTTTGGCTAGATTAACCAAAATGTGTCCATGTAAATGTTTAAAGAAAGGGTTGACGACTTTAACTGCACCTACAACAATCAGGAAGCAAATTCTCAATACTAAGACTTTATCGAATTCAGTTTTAAGTACCAGTACGAATAAAAATTTTGGGCATACCAGCGTATTCACTCTTTTGGCCAAATTGGCCACTACAAAAATACCAGTTTCTAAAAATTAATCCGTCAAAAAACAAGACAATAACATAAACTGGACCAATTATAACGTTTACTAATGTACCAAATTGAGTTACAAGTTCAGTAAATCAACACTATATATGAATTGGCCTATCTGAAATGTAATATTACTAGGTCAACAAAAGTCTTGCCAACTACCAAGACCAAGTTGACAACCTCTTCACCAGATATCAGGCAAAAGGATTCAGCCACACCAACAAACAATCTCTTCTTTCAACCGCTGATAAGCAACTATGTTTTTAGTCCCTTACATCTCAAACTCCATTTAAAACAACTTTTTTGCTAGTCATAAATGTTCAACTTATGTCTTGCCTTCCAACAAGACGATATGTTGACAACCCAGGAAATAACTCCCAAACATACTGTAACAACACTGAGGTCTATAAGCCAAGCAAACCCTATTCCAAAGACTATAATTATATGGGACTGTGAGATAAGTAAGGCTGCAGATTTGTAGGTTAAGTTTAAATGAACTGCAGTGGACTTTACAAGTGAAAAAAAAAAAAAAATAATAATATTAATTTAAAAAAAAAAATAAAAAAATACATAAATGACTAAATAAAATTCCCAAATAACACAATTGTTGCAACAAGTAGAGCATTGTCAACAAATTATGTGTCTACTTTTTAACTTTCAGATATTAATAAGAAGATGATCATTTTAAAACATGTAAAGATTACTTCAGCTATATCCAAGATGTAATCTATTAATATAAATATAAAGAAACTATGTAAAATGCACTATTAATTGCACATTGTTGCAAATGAGTTATGTGTTTACAAGTTGAAGTGTGGCTAAAAGTGCCAAAATGTCGTCCTCATGTTGAAAACGAAGGAGCTTTGTGTCTTAACCCAGTGCGTCTGTCCCCAGTGTGTGTCCATGCTGTCGACAGAGCCTCCTAAAAATTATTTATTAAAAAAATATTTAATAAACTTATTTTTATACAAATTTGATCTGTGTTTTTTTTTTTAAATGAACCTCAAAGGTTGTTGAAATATTTAAGATTATGTTATGTTTACTTAATCTACTGCTGTTTATCTAATCTGGGTTATTTTTTATTTAATTTACCATTTTGTAATCCATTAACTTTATTAAAAGGTGCAATTTACATTTCATTTAATTTTTCAAACACAATTTACAAGACAGTCTGCATCATTTGAAATCAATCATTGTCCTCATACTTTAAAAATTGCATTGTCTCATGTATGGAATAATCCCCTATCAATTATTTGGAGCCTTTCTGAACAATTGAAACTTTTGTCTTATCTAGGGTGACATGCCAGATAACCAGGGAGCGCAGAGGAAGATGATACAATATAACAGATGAAAATGAGTCTACACTGCGAACTCTGGCACATTTACATGCAGTACTAACACATGTTGATTAATATGCATTGTCTCATTGCATTAGCTGTAATAATACACTTTTTTTTTGCATTTGAACCAATTATTTGGTATTTTAAGTCTTCATATTACCAGTTTGTATCATCATTAGTATAACCTGTGTCTGTGTTCAGAGTGCAAAAACAATGAACCACCACACACAAAAAAATCTATCTCAAAAACATTGATTTATATCAATTATCATTTTACAATAAATTGTACATTTAAAAATAATAATTCATCTTAACTTGCCTCACAGTATGCAAAATAGAATTCACAATCTCATAAGCAATAGCAATATTTTAAAGGTGCGCAGCGTAACTTTTCTGGAGGAGGATACGACATCTGCTTGTCTCAGTGATGTTGCTTTGCCAAGAATGTATTCACACTTTGATATTGAACTTATCTCTTTGGAGATTTACAGGTTAAATCTGGGGAGAGGTGACCTCACACAGAAAGTTTGTTTTTGTAAGGTATTTTGAGCAATAAAAATGTCAAAAATGAAATAAATGCTATGGATATATTGTGGAACATTCCAGGCACAGCAATAACACTTAATACAAGCAGGTAGGACCTTCTCCCAGAAAAGTGCACCTTCTAGGTTTAAGCTTAACACTGGAGGAAATGTTATAATGTAAACGATTAATCATATATAAGATCCAAAGCACATATTAACGTGTTCATTAATAAAAGTGTAAACATGGGTATATGAATAAGTAGTGCTCTTTAATTTCAAGTTACATAAAGTAAGTTTTACAAAGAATAATTTATGGTTTAAATTTCTGAGCAAATTCTTCCAAAATGTTCAAGAGTTTTTCTTCGTCCTGTGGAGAGGATCTGGATGCAGCCAGAGGTAAATGTGTGGACACAGCCGTGCGGTCTGGGGAGAAAAAGAAATCATTTAATCATTTTTAAAAATTTATTAAGTTAGGATTAGATCAGAACTAAACCGCAACTAAAGCATTAGGAGGCAACCAGATATATAGCAACCACGTATATCAATACCTAGAGCAACCAGTATTGGACCACAACTAAAGCAAGTATGACTGAACCAGGTCTAAGTCTAAACAGAACTAAAGCAGAACTGCAGGGGCTAACGCAGGACTAAAACTGTGACTAGACCAAGACTAAAACAGAACTAAGCCAGGACTATACCAGAGCTAAAACCTTGACAACCACAGCTGAACGACAACTAAAGCAAATTTGACTCATGACTGCACCAGACTAAAGCAGACTAAGTCAGGACTGACCAAGGACAAACATAGGGCTAAAACTAGGATTAAACCAGGACTATAGCAGCACGGAACTGGGACAAAACTCAAGAAACAGAGTTTGAACCAGGACTAAACCTGGACTGAAAATGAACAGAGCCAGGCCTAAAGCTAGGACTAAACCAGGACTGACATTACGACTGAAGCAGGACTGAAGATGGCCACAATTTGTAACAAAAGACAAGACAAAGATGAACATTTTTCTATTTAAAAATGGACTAAACCAGAGCTTAAACCAGGGTCAAACTGGAACTAAAATAGGATTAAACGAGGACAGACCATGTCTAAAACAAGGATAAAAAAAGGAATAACCATGGACTATAGCAGGACTGAACCAGGACTGTGCCAGGACTAAAGTACTTTAATTATATTCTAATGCAGAAGACTATATCAGAGCAAGGCCACATGTGTACCCTGCTTCAGGTCCATAGTAACAACTGAACCCACTTAATATCCCTACTGTGAAAATGGATTGAAAGTATAAATAAATACATTTTAGTCTGACCTTGGAAGAATAGTCCACTGTTCTGCTTGGAGGCAGCCTCAGACATGGCTAACCACACCACAGTGTCTGCCCCCATGGCCTCAGTGCGCAGCCTCGACTGCATCTTCGCATGAAAGGAGGGCATCGAGGTCTGGACCGCTACAGGAGCGACAAAGGGACATTTAAATGAAAACAAACAAACAAACAAACAAAAAAACAACTTAAATACATTACAAATGTACTATTCTATTTATTTTGTATGGCCCCAAATTGCAACAGCAGAAAATAGTTGATTTAACCAATGAGTCACTGAGCAATCACTGAGCAATAACTGAGAAGGCAAATGGAACACTGGCAGAGCGCCCCCCCCGTCCTTTCTGCAGTATGTAACTTTTGTTGATGTTGATGCCTTTGAACTCTTAATATTTGCGTTTTTGAGAAGTTTGAGAGTTCCATTGACCTTATAAAGCTCCACCCACTCTTGCTCCTAAACCACAATTTGTGGTGGCACTTCAGTGAAGAGGGAATTCTATTTATTTCAGTGGAGAATTTGAGAAAAATGTCACCACTCAAATATGAGACAAAGTAGGCTGGTTTGTGTAAAAAGTTCAATGTTCATGTGCACTGTCAAGACCGGCAGCTCCACACAACATAATACAACCCGGATAATGAAAGCAGCGCCTATGGTAACTTCCACAATGAGGTGAATACTGGCAGTGTGTTTTGTGCATAACAGACAGGTGTGTTTTTACCTGGAGTGTCAGCCCATCCCGGGTGCATGGAGGAGAAATGAATCTCTTTGTGCTGAGTGGCCCATCTCTCAGTGAGGATCACCTGCTGCCTCTGCACAAACCAAACCAAACAAAACCAAACACGCCAATGTCAAATAGGAGAGGGAAAAAAAAACAACACAAGTCCTATTCACAGCACTGACATAAAACAACAGTGTGGTAAGCTGTGTGAGTGACAGGCCACAGGTAAAGGAATGTCTGTTTGTCTAACAAAGACAACTGCTTTTTCAGGAGTATTTGAAATGAAACTATAACATACATAAATACATCATTCACACACGTTTCACATTTTGTTCTTTGTAAACCACAACACTGATCTAAAATTACTTTACAGAAAACGGCCGTTAAAATTTTTGGAACCTACATGTATGACCTGAAGTTTGAATCTTGTAAATAAATGCAAGTATGTAACGAGCAGTGGGCGGAGATTAGCCAGGCTGGCGCCACCTAGTGCCTCTGCTCAATTTAATTTCTCTCCAGTGACTAGATCAGCAATCAGAATACACTAGATGGTTTGCAAGAACCCCGAAAGTGTGAGTCTGGGCACCAGCCAATCAGCGAAAAGCCACACATTCTATGTTGGCAACAATTCCAGAGATTGAGGATTTAAAACCTTAACAAAGAAAATGTTTGGTGAATTTTATCAAGGGGAAAGATGTTATTGTCCTTCTTCTATGACATTTGGGAAAAGCTTAATACACCAGTTAGGCCTGTTAGTGGCGCATTACATACATCACGACCAAATATCAGCGACTGGTTAAATGAAAAAAGTACATGCCTACCATCGAGCGAACAAATTCTAACGCTACAAGGTCAGACGGCTTCTACGAAGTGAAACCGGCTGATGAATCATGCTAGGCGGCGATAGGAAGTGGGTAAAACAGACATTTTCTGAGCACTTGAGGCTCGTATGTGGGACAATACAGGATTAAAATTTATAATTCAGTATTACATATTTTTACCTTGTTCTGAGCATAAGCCATGGTCCCATCAAACGTTCCTTTTTCAAACTGCAGGTCGTCTACATTGAGTTTTTGTGTTAACATCCCACCTGATGATACTGTGATCTGGGAAAATGAAAAATATGTAAGGTTTTATAATAGTAGATTTATAATAATACAAAGCCAGTTTACTCACCACTCTGGGATTTGTGGCCTGCTTTAACAGAGGAATTAAAGCTGTGGTGAGGATATAAGTACCTGAAAAACGCAAAATTGTATAATATTTAATTATGAAATAACAGTTTAGCCTTAAATTTAAGCAGGTGACAATAAAGACACCTGTGATTAACAAAAAGCAAGATATATTAATGCCATACTGTGCATCATTAAAGGCAAAGCAATTCAATCTCCATGGAAACAAGTAGTTGCAGAGAAGTCAGAGGTTTTTAGAGTGATAGAGTAATCTGTAACTCAAAGATTAATGGTTCAAATTCCTCTCTAGTCACCTCATTTGTACGGAGACAGGAAGTGAGAGATCTGCCAGCTACTTGTCTCATGGATATGTTACATCTTTGCCTGAAATGTTCTACAACATGGCATAAAAAAATTCAGTGCTTCTCTCCACGGAGAAAGAAACAAGATCCAACATTCCACCAGAAAAGTTACACTGTGCACTTTTAAACAAACTGTGTTATAAAATACAGAAATTGGTGCATGAACTGTAAACAATTTAACTGATCCTCAACATTGAAGGAAAACATTGTTACATTTAAACCTTATTTTGGTCATATGATGTTTTGCTTGGACCCTTTGAATTAACCATAGTCATTAGATTATCATTGGTGGTAAATCCAGGAAAAGTCTGAGTGAGTCTGTGGATTTCAGTGGCGCTTAAAGCTACATTTGTTGTTAAAAGTTGACTTCTTTCTTTTACCGAGTGTGTTGGTGGCAAAGTTCTTCTCGAGCCCCTCCTCTGTCACTTCCCTCTGGTTTATCATACATCCAGCGTTGTTAATCTGGTGAAAATAGAGCATTAGTAATTAAAATAGGCATTAGAATGAGTAACAAGTAAAATAAACATGACATTTGCATCAGAAAAACTGCACTGACAATCGATACTATTAATTGGAAATTAGTTTGAAATGTCCCAATCAAATTACTATCAAAAACAATAGAAGTTATATTACTACAGTGAGCGGGGTAAATAATAAATGTTTAACAAATTCAATTTTTATTTCCTGTTTTTTTAGTGAAATTTCACTTTGAACTTTCACATGTAATCCAATTATGTGTTACCCACTGACTCATATCTCTAATTAAAATATCCAATAGAAGTAATAGTGATTCTAAAAATTTTATTATTTATTTTGGGGGGGGTCAAATTATAGTTTTAGAATACATCGTAAAACAAACATTTCATTCTGAAATCACATCCAAATTAACAAGAAAATCTTTTTGTTACAGCACCATTTACTGGATTTCTTATTACATTAAACATAGATATGGCAAGAGTAAAATATCATTATAATTTAACACTTCAGTCATACTTTACATCAACTATAGAAGTTGTACTCACTAGAACATGGAGTGTGTTGTTTTGTGAAAAGTTTTGGGCAAACTCCCAAACCTGCTTCATATTGGACATGTCGACGATGTGGACGTAGACATCCTGTGAAGAGAAACAGAGCTCAGATAAACAATAAAACAACCTTTGGCCACGTTTTTGTCTGTAATAATGTAGGAACTTTAAAATACTAACCTGGTTTTTGCTGCTTTCTACGATCTCGTCTTTGGCTGCATCTGCTCTGCCTTTGTTTCTGCACACCATGTGAACAGTGCCACCTGGAGACAATAAGATACTTTTAATTAATCTGTACTTTGTGTTTCACTCAAATGCTAATGCTCTGGGATTTGTTTAAAATGTCCACATGAACTCAGTCTTGAATTAACAAAAATAAAAAATATATGAAGTAAATCTAATGTAAATCACATTACTTCATGCACTATGTAGACTCAGGTGGAGGACTGGCCACACTCTTGTCTGTATGGTAATGTACTTACTTTGCCTGACTTAACTGTCCACAGTATAACATTACATTTATTATGTAACATGAATTTATTGGATTACAGATGTTGAAAGTAATCTATTACATTATAATAAAAAAGTACAATCTCAGACACATTTATATTAACATGAACTTGAGGTTCAGATTAAATATATTTCTTACAGCCACATCACAATTTTTATTTTATCCCTGATTTTATTGCCTTTAAGAGTTAATAGAGCCATCTGCTTCTTTTGAAAGTTCACACTTCACTGAATGGTTAAATAATTTCTTATGTAGGAGTTAGATTGTCACATTCAGGAAAGCATTCTTGTATCTTAATGCAACAGACCATCCCCCAGTCCTTTTTCATAGCCTTTTAAGTCCTGTGTTTACCTCTGTTGGCGATCTCCAGCGCTGTGGCCTTCCCAATACCGCTGTTTGCTCCTGTGATCATAAAGGACCTGCCGCTCAAATTCACCTCCAGGTCTGAGGGATTAAAACGCTTCGCTGCAGCCTCGTAACCGCACCTACACAGTCCAGAGTGCACAGGGATCAATAAAAGGAAGGAAGATAAATTACATAGTTGTGATATACATTCCAAACTTTACTCTAGTTAAAAAGTGCACTATGTAACCTTTCTGGGGTTACATGTAGCTATCTCCAAGGAGGCTAGGAAATGATGCCACCACGCCTCATTACCAGCCAAATTTTTCAAGGAAATTTATCAGCAGTAAAATAAATAAATAAATAAATAAATAACATGGGTAGGATGTATTGATTCAAATACAAATTATATTAAATTCAAATATGAACTAAAATATAATATTTCTCTCTCTAGATTACAGTAGTCCTATGTGGCAAAGGCTATGGTTTCCAAAGGTGGGATCTATCATTGTTATTTTAATGAAAAGAGTCACTGGTTCATTGATAATTCACATGCCTTCTCGACATTTCTGTTAGCCTTTGTATGTTTATTGTTTGCACACAAAAATCATTAAACCTATTTGCCCTCCTTTAACCCTTGTTAAAGTTTTGTAAGATTATCAATACCACAATAGCTTTGTCTCAACTGGGATTACATCAACTTGAACTTCCAGAGAGAATTTATGAAAGCTGTCACTGACAATGAATAAAGATAATGTGTTATATTGATTTAGGCTTAGACACATTACATTTACAGTATAGATAGTTGCATGGGCAATAAACAATGGTCCAATTATTCTAGAGGTAATTTGAGGTCACAGAATGCTCCCATTGACATATAATTTTAACCGTATACATCAATAACTATAACATACAGTATCATGTTATAGAAAATGCAAATAATCCATTTAGTTAAGAATAATATCTTATAGCTCAAACCGATGCCTTAAACACGTGCATTACTCAAGTAATGTCCACACCTACCTCGTATACTCCTGCATTCCTTTCAAAAACCACACCGCATTTCTGTAGATCGACATATTTGCGGGATAGCTGCTACGTAAAACTATCCAAAAATCGTTTCTGAATGCAAAACGGCGTCTTTTAAGGGCGTCGGAGCATTAAACGTTTCGTAAGAATGACTTGTTTTCGTTATGTATGGAGTAAAGGGGCGTGGCTTGAGAATCACGTGTGCAAAACCCCAGAAACGGAAGTTAGCGTGATGGTGGCTAAAAACAATGCTAACGGAGAATACGTAACAAAAAGCATTAGTTTGACTTTATTAAATCATCTATGACATTTATATCAACATCAATTAATATTTTTTACTAATATAGGAAGGTGGTAGTACTGAAAAACGATGTAATGTAACGTACTGTAATTTCAATCTGGTTTATTAATATTATGTTCTCCCGTTTTATCGCATTGAAATGAATATCACGCAATAAGCAATAAAGTGATTTTATTATAATGCACGGAATTTATGTTTAATTGAATACATATATGTCAATGCCAAAAACAATTTAGCAAAAAAATTAATTGTTAAGAAGTATTACGGTTTATCAGCGCTATTTCACAGTTGAAGCATGGTTGTCAGGATGGCCGAGTGGTCTAAGGCGCCAGACTCAAGGTAACTCCTTCCTCTACAATGGGGCTTCTGGTCTCCGAATGGAGGCGTGGGTTCGAATCCCACTTCTGACAATAACTTTTTGTCTCAAATATAAAGGAAATACGGAATATAAATTGTATTAATTTGCACGACTTTTGTATATAAACATAGCGCTTTTTGATAGGTTTGATATTTGTGTAGAGTTGTTGTGCAGAAGAATACGAACTGAAACATCAAACGCCGTATGGTGATAACAAAAAATATATTGCACAGTTTACCTGCAAGTTCTGTCGCGCATTTTCTGTTTTGTGATTTGGATTTCGTTTTGACGTTTTTATTCCTATTTAGGGCTACTTACAGAATTCCTGAGCATAATTTCCTAACTACTGTAACACCGACTGAAGTATTTTCATTTATCATCTATTTAATCAACTGGCCTGTTTTCTATATCTATGAGGCTTAAAACGTTTTCACATAAAATTAAACGATAAAAACTAAAATAAAATAAAGTAACTGAATTAACAAATTGAAGTGCATATGAACCACTAGAGGGCAGTCTAATAAAACAGCTTTGCAGCTTAGAAATCGATAGACTGCAATACCCGATTATTTCACTAGATGGAGACATTGCAAAGCACATGACACATGACAAAGTGAGCGAGTAGTTTAGGCCAAATTAAAGTCAGACTTATGAGACGCAAACATGGAAAAATGTATTATCTTTTATGATTATAGTTTTTTTTTAATTATTTTATTTAGTGGGGCTTTAAATAAACATGAAAGTGTGAGTGAATTGTGTAGATTATTTGGGTGCTATTTACCGGAAAAAAGCACAGACCTCTTTAGTGTTAATCTTATAATGAGGTCTGAGCTTCACATGAGCCAAAACCTTCCTCAAATGTACCAGAGCTGCAAGCAAACCAATCAGACAAACACTAAATCATAATTTTCTTCTTTTTTTTCCAATTAAAATGACTAAACAGTGCAAAATGTCTTAAAATATATCAAATTTACTAAGTAGGCTTATGTGTGGAAAATGGAAAATGTTCATGCAATTTTTATAAAGATGTTTAAAAGAGAAATCAGCATATTCTTTAAATTCTGCACCAGAAAAAGTTACATAATGCATCTTTAAACATTATCTTTTTTTCTTCTGTCAGACCTAAACTAGATTGACCGCTCAGTTTAATTTGTTTGTCCCCCGTTCAGCCTGAAAACTCTGTGTAGTAATGTCCAGTCTGTTTGGTCTGGTCCTTAGTCTGGTCTAAGTCTGGTCCTTAGTCTGGTCCAGTCCTCCTCCTTCTGCTCAGCGTCTTGTTTTGAATTAAAATTGTGTGAACAACTCTCTCTGCATATTTCCCTTTTACAGACCCCACTCTTGAGTCTGGACTTGATGCTGTAGACCCTTTAATCCCCTGTTTAGCATGCCAAGACCAAAACAGGACTAAACCAGAACTAAACCAGGACTAAACCAGGACTAAACCAGAAATAACCAGGACTGAAGGAGGACTAAACCAAAACTAAACCCGGATTAAACCAGGACTAAACTAGGACTACATATGCTCCTCTGTGACCAAAAACCAAAAAAGAACCAAAAAGTGGCACTAAGAGAGTGAAGTGCCTTGCCCATGAACACAATGGCAGTATGTACAGATCAGCTTTGGAATAAAATAAAATAAAATACATTTATTTGGTGTGATGACAAGTTAGCTGGATTACAACCTTGTACAAAGCAACACAATCTATATTATAATGAAGTGTTGGTCTTAATCTGACGCAGACTCTCGGAGTGAGTCTGGAGAAACAGGAGTGGAGGGGTTCAGATGTTCTCGGGTCCCATTTGTCAGGTCCAAGTTGGTCCAGACAAAGGCCAAAGGGTGAATGGACTTAAGGCCGGGACTAAGCACACAAACTATTAACACTGGTCCATCCATGACACACAGTGGCCCCAAAAGCCTGCTTTATACACACACACAGATAGAGACACAACGCAACGCAATGCAAAGCAATGCACCCTGTGTTTGTGGAGAGAAAGAAGGGCCGGAGAGGGAGAGAGAAGGGGGTTGGGGAGGGTGGAGAGCGAGAGAGAGAGAGAGAGAGAGAGGAGAAAGAAAAGGAGAGAGTGAGAGAAAGGGTGGAGAGGGACAAAGGAGAAGGAGAGAGACTGGGAGAGAGGAAGAGGAGGAGGAGAGAGAGGGGAGGGAGAAAGGAGAAGGAGAGAGAGAGGGGGAGAGAAGGTGGAGAAAGAGATGAGAGGGAGAGAAGCTGGTGAGATAAAGGTAAGGAAAGAGGAGAGGGAGAGAGAGAGAGAGAGAGAGGGGGAGAAGGAGAGAGACAGGGGAGTTGTGTTTCGTTTCATTCACACATGTTTAACACAAATCCTGCATGTTTAGGCTTCTCTCAAACAGAAAACGCTCTGTTCCATCTTGTGATGTCATGTTGCAATACAGGAACTACTCCACAGTGTTTGTAAACTCCATAAAAGCTACATTTTCAGACTAGGGGCTACTAGGGGCAGGCTTGTGGGCGGACCCTTAGGTGCTGTTCACACAACAATGTTTTTTGGTCAAAACTGTGAAGTTTTTATTCATTTTGTCCTTTCACCCACATGGAGCTGGCATTTCAGGTGGGTGAAAATGGTGTATTTATTGATTGACACATGTGTGGATGCAAATAAAAAAAATAAAATAAATAAAAATAATAATAAAATAAAATAAATAAATAAATAAATCAGGAGTGTTGTCATGTGGACGTAGCCTTAGACAAGACTTGTGGTCTTGTATAACCAAGACTTTGAATAGTGGCAGTGAGAGATCACATTATTATTCAAACATGCACAAATGATTAAGAAAACCAAAATCTAAAAGAAAAAGCTGTGAAAACACTGCAAAAAACAAAATCCAGCCAAGTTAAGATAACTTGAATTAAGAAAGTTTTATCATGATTAGAGTAAATTTAAATTAACAAGTAAAATTATCTGCCAGTGGAATAAGACGTTTTGTACCTAATATATTAAAATACATCTTGTTACACTTAAAATAAGAAAAACAACAACTTTATGCACTTAAAATAATAAACAAAATCGAATGTTGCTTGAATTAAGAAAAACACACTTATTCCTTTGGCAGATCATTTTACTTGTCAAGTTGAACCAACTCAAATAAAGTCAAATGTTCTTAATTTAAGTCATTTTCATTTAACTAGAGATTGTTTTTTCCAGTGAAAACACCACAACTGTATTTTGTATTTCACATTATGGCACATCACACCAAAATGTTGCACAGGCTGTTGAATGCATGGGTATAAGGGGATCTATTGGAATATGAGCTCCTCTAGTGCTGGGCCTCGAGCACTGGGATGGTCTCGAGTCCTGGGAGGGCCTCAAGTCCAGAGATCTGCTCAAATCCTGGAAGGGTGTCCAATCCTGCAACGGTCTCGAGTCCAGGGATCTGCTTGAGTCTTGGAAGGCTCTGGAGTCCTGGGAGGGCCTTTAGTCCAGGGATCTGCTCGAGTCCTGGAAGGGCCTCGAGTCCAAGAATCTCCTCGAGTCCTTGATGGGTCTGGAGTCCAGGGATCTGGAGTCCTGCGAGGGCCTCGAATCCAGGGATCTGCTCGAATCCTGGAAGGGTCTCGAGTCCTAGGAGGGCCTCAAGTCCAGGAATCTACCTGAGTCCTGGGAGGGTCTGTTTGAGTGAAGAACTCAGTGTAAAAATGCAGGTTTTTGTGTTAAACGTGTGAATAAAACAAAACACAACTCCAGGTCTGTTTGTGATAAGAAAACAACTTTATAACACAGATATGAAAATAGGGTAATATGGACCCTTTAAAAGTCCCTGGTGCAGTGAGACTCGTTTAGTAGTAAATTAGCTATAGTAGTAGTTTTCCACTTTGAATTGTGAGTTTTATGAATAGCGACCATCTTGGGTTCAACCAGGTCCCAGACTGAGCTCCATAAGGGCCCTTCTTTGATGCCACATTTGCACTTTCCCTTTGACTTCCACACATTTACATACTCAAGTCCTATCAAACGCTCAAAACTCACCCCGTCTCAAGCACCCAATTAGTTCAAGCCAAATTAGACGAGAGACAAAAGCTTCGCAAATTAAGTCAATTCTTTATAAGTCTTTCCAGCTCCTTCTTCCTGCTCGGAATCCATACATGCATAGGAGACGAGCAATGAGTGACACGAGCACAGAGGCGGGAGGGCGTAGCGACGTTAGCATGTCCACACAGTACTACTGGGGTGATTAGCAGGCTCCCTCCCTCAGGTTAGAGCCCATAGAGATGCATGCGTTGTTTGTTTGCTCAGAGCTTTTGTTGGTGAGAGAGGACAGCCCCGTGACACCGTGACACCCGCGACGACAGAGGAGCTTCCTGTTCCATATAAACCTGTGATTCCTAAGTAACAAAGTAAAGTAAAGTACCGTTCTTAAAGGCGCACTGTGTAACTTTTTGGTTGGGGGTTCATCATCTTCTTGTTTCTATGAATGTCGTTTCTCTGCTTAGAATGTTCCACAGTACGACATTAAACATTTCTACCTTACATTTATTCAATTACAGT